CCGAAACGCTCCTATTCTCGGTTTTATTAGTTTCGTGAAAACGTTGCATATGAAACGAGTCAAAGGTCGGTAGGTAGATGGATCGCGAAGCGTAGGACAAAGAAATGGAAGATATTTATTAGAGCCTGTAAAAATTTGCATGCAAATGAAACGAACCGTCTGAGAAAAAGTTCGTCTCATTCCCTTATCAGGATTAACAAGCTGAACGAGCCTGTTTCTTTTGAAAATGAATCGTAAGGCAAAAGGTTAAATCTCCATTGCGATTTGCTAATCTCTCGTACAATAGGTAATTGCACTCGGTTCGAAGCATAAACTTTATCACAGCCAGCGAAATGATCGTTGCACGACAAGTAGGCGACTGGAACGAGAGAGGAACGACGCGTAACCCACTTAATAAATGACGGAGGAAAACGTTTGTTCTTCTCTCGTTGCGAAGCGATTGTACGTGAGACGGGAGCTTTTACTACCGATTGATCGGTCTGTTCTGTTGATTCTATCGATCAGCCGACGGTGATTGCAGTAATAGCCTGGTCATAAGCGAATCGAATGGGGTCGATTCGATTTTCAGAAGGAGCGCAACTCGCTTGGCCGTGTGGCACTTTCACTGATTAGCCGCGCTCCTGTTCGCTCGCGTCGCTTCTTCTCGCCACCTGGCTAACGAGACGTCCATTTTACAGTTAATACGCCACTTTCTCGAACGAACATTCGATAGACTATCTCTGTTCAACCATTTCTCGCTCGTCGTATATCCGATATTTTTATTTGACACGTTCGTGTAACATTCCCCGTTAATTACTATTTGTAGAACATCCTGGTATATACGATATTTTCATCGCGATCGAGTTCATGTAACACGGACAGCTAATTAACGAAAGTTTGTACGAGCACAATGGCAAGGTTAAAGCTAATTCCAGTTGAAATTGTATTCTTAAGTAGTCATTTAAGAAACACACTTTGTTTCGAGCGTAATTAGTCACGGGTCTTTTGAGTTGCGTGCCTCCGTTGAACGCTCTCGACGCTTTATTACATAGTCTGGAGTGTCTGAACCGATTGGATGATTCGAAAAAACTAGCCTAGACAGGTTCTTCTCGGTTCTCGGCTAATTCAAGAGTAACCAAGATCGTTCTGTTTGGATTACGACACAGAGATAGGCATCGATCAGAGAATTGAAATTGAAAACAAAAACTTTCAACATCTACGATATACTCTGATCAATTTTTTCATGGAACATTTTACAACCTTTCAGCGATCAGTTTCTATAAGAAGATATTGTCGAAAATGAGCCTTGTGGGGTTAATAACCCGTTCTTCCGTTCCGAAGCGTTAGCTTATACCGGCGGCGGTAAAGGGCGCAATTGCGCTATATAAGAATATCCACCCTCCAGCAGCCACCCTTCAAGTGGCGCCGGGTATGGATAAACTATCTACTCATGAGGCTTGCCAATCATTGTGTTCGAATCCTAATTAGCCAACACGACTCTTTGTCGACGTAAGGAATTTTGATTTTGGGCGGAAAAAGCTAACCTGAGTGGGTTAGCAACTACACCCACCAGGCGCCTTACGCCCGTTTCTGTAAGAGGAACATGTTCCTCTGTGTATCAGGAAAATCAATTTTCAGAGAATATCTAGAGCGAAGGGTAGGAAAATTCGGCTCTCCTTTCTTCCGCCAGTCAGAAACTTCCACGCAAGATGAGTCTACTTTGCAACAATGATCTCCGAAGTCTGTGATACACGAAATAAATAAATCGGCTGCCTACACCATAGCCCCAACATTGTCGACGAAATCGATCGGCCCGATCGGAAACGCGAATAAATTGATCTCGATAAAATCGGGCTGCGGTAATGGACGCGCGTCGACCGATCGTTCAGCGAACGTATCGCCGGAAATAATCAGGAATTCATAAAACGACGCTTCTACCGTGAATTACTCTGCCGATAAATTGAATAGCGTTCGAACGGGGCTAGTTCGAGCGTGATCGGAGAAACGATAAAATTTGACGTTCAACGACAATGCACGGCGAGGACGAGAAAAGAAGACGACACGGAAAATCGTTGTTCGATCGTCGCGTACACACGGTCAAGGTAATAAATCGCGTGATTCACAGCCTTCTAACGCGTACAATGAATATCTATTGTCCCTTTTACTTTCTCCCGATGCCGAGGGAACATCGTGTCCCTGTCCCGTGAACAGAAGTCCACGTGTACGTGGGTGCTACTCGACACCTGTCCAACAAGATCCAACGCGAAAGACCACCTAATGGTTTGGAATACCTGATGGTACTATGATATCGTTGAGTTAAAAACGATTTTCTTACATATTGTTTCTCATGGTTCATTAATGTACGTTCCAGGTAATAATTAAGATGCCACACCCAAGTGTGGTCACGAATGTATTAGGGTATAGAACATGATATGTTTACTAACAGATTAAAATCTCTAGTCAGAATAGCGCTCAAATAAATAATTGCTTTTTGTTTCAAGAATTAAAGTATTTTAAATTTAATGATACCACGCCTAGATCTTGTAAATTAAGTCAAATATTAAGACACAGAGGAATATCTCATGTTTGCCAAGCGATTAGGTTGTTCGGTCAAACTGACTCCTCAAATTCCAACCTTATTTGATTCGATGATTACTCAATTTTAACCAGGGTAATAAGCAATCGTTCTTTCCTTTAATAAACAGTTAATAAACCAGGACAATAAGCGGTTAGAGTTAGAGAGATTTCTCTGCTGGTCTGAAAATTATAGCTGAAACGCGATCGCTCTAGAAGCACGGATCCTTCAAAGAGTAATTTAAACTAAATCAAAGCTTCTGTTTGTAGAACAAAGATGAACGGATAATTATGCAGAAATCGCTGTCAGGATTTCCATTACTTAACGCTATGCTCTCGTTTTTGTTATTCGAGCAGTGGTTCGTTCGTGGCGATTCACAGAAATTAAGTCACTTTCGTTTCGGCCGGACGAACGGAATACTAATGACCAAGTCACGAGACTGACACGTCTGACGTGTGTAATTTGTTTTATAACAGTCATCCCGATCCGTGTCAAACGGCGTGGAAATTGCCGAGTTCGCGAACCCGTCGCGATATATTCTCGTTTCTAAATGAGACTGCCTCTGGCCGCCTGATTCGGAAGTCAAGTAGGTCGTACGCCTGCTTCTAAAAGCATCCTCTCTAACGGCGGTGCTAATAAACCTTCTAATTACACCGAGAACGATCCTATTTATTTTCTTTTCGAAAAAGTTAATGGGCTTTTTATACACCTTTTAAACACCTTCGGTATAATGATATTCCAACGCCGATGAATCATTACGTTCCATCGAAACATTTCTATCATTTCTTCGTGGTTATTTGAAGCTAGCACGTATATGTTAATCTTAGAACAAAATATTGAAACTTAATTCTAGATTACATATTTATAATCGCAAATTTGGGTTTGTCGTAAGAGTTATAACTGAAAAAAGAAGATGGAAAAATAAATCGACTGACCGATTTGAAGCAGCTCGTTCCTTTCAGCCGAACGTTCACCCTTCCTTCATTCTTGGCCGCCCATTCCTCGGATCCACCTCGGCACAGGATAAAAAACCGATCGTCCTCGTGACAACCGAGACACTCGACCAGCTTCTGACCACGATTACGGATCACATGTGCCACTGAACTCCGACGATCCACCCCGTGCGATCGAGTCCTCTTCCACGAAAGGTGAAATCCTCTCGAATCCAGTCTGGCTAGCTGACTAAACCCTTCGATGATTCACCAGATGGTTTTCCCACGAACGAATCGAATCATCGGGGACGATTTCCAAAATGTACACGCGCGACTATCTAACGGACGATCCGCGTTCGCGTGGTTAAAATAGATCCTCGAGCTGAATGGAAGCTCGAAATCGTCCGGACGACCGGCTCCACGTGCACGCGGTTCGACTACCGGTCGCGCTTTGAGGATCGGCTGATTGCGTCCAGTGTGGACGAGGAACTCGAAGAAGAGGGCAAGAGAGTAGTAGGGAGCCGACGAGGCTGTTGAAACCACGTGCCGTCTCCCGCCAGGAATACGCGCGGTGATTTCACGCGGATCGGCGTCGTTCACCGCCTCCTATCAGGCACCGGTCAACCGATTTTTCATAACGTTGGAGAAGAATTTTCTTTATCCCAAGATATCTTAGAAAGAATGTATCGCGTTAATTTGAAAGGAATTAACTGTACTGTAACGAGGAAGAAGGATCTAGCGGAAGAAACGCTTCGCGACGCACGTAACCTCGCGCAAAATCGACGTACGCGAGCGACGATCCACGCGGTACGATCGCCGGTTCCATACTGAGCTCGTACGACCTTAAACTCGGGCTAATACCGGAATAAGGACGGGAGGAAAGCCGATAACCGTGAAAATCCAAAGAAATGGTAGGATAATCCAATTCGATCTAGAACGAGGAGTGAGTTAGATGTTTAAGTTTTCTTTCGATGGTCCATTAAAAATGATACAAAATTCGTTGTACATTTAATTCATTGATGAAAAATTACTGCATGAAGTTAATAATGAGCGTTTTTTTTCCATGCTCCATCAAGAGTGATACAAAATTCGTTGCTCATTTAATTAATCCATGAAAAATTAATAAATGTAATAAATTACTGCATAAGATTAATAATGATAAGGGACCTATGACTTGATTACGTTTTTTTTCAATGCTCTATGAAAAATGATACAAAATTCGTAGCTCATTTAATTCATTGGTGAAAAATTAGTAAATGCAATAAATTACTGCATAAGATTAATAATGATAAGGGACCTACGTCTATGTTTACGTCTAAACGAGAATTTGCAAGAAACGTATCTTTTCCGGCCAATGAATTACACAACCAAAAAATAAAAACAAAGTGGGAGTGGAAGGAGTGGAGGAGAAAGGGTGAGGAAGAACGGTGGGGCCGTTATACGGCGCAAAGAGAAGATCGTAGATATATTTACTTACGTACGTAAGGTGCACGTATATGTACGTAACTGCCTACCAGTACGGTCCCTCTCGCCTTTGGGCGAAGTGGGTCGACCTCTTGGAGAACAGTCGAGGCCGACGGCCTCCTCTCGCGCTACCTGCTTCGTCCAGAGTCTAGTCCTGCGTCTCCTCCCTCTGTGGACATCGCTCTGAGCGATCATTCCAAGGATTCTCCTCGATACACGCGCCTTTGAAACGTTATCTCGCGTTACGGAATTGGGACCTCGTTTGCCATCGTGTTCAGAGGACATCGCACCTTCGAAGAAAGTTAAAAAATACAAATGAGTATGGATGAAAGTATGAAATCAACGCCTAGACCGATCGCTCTTGAATACATTATGACAAAAGAACTCTGACAATTTGAAAAGCGTCATTTTGTTCGTTACGCTGCTAATGAAAACTAGGCCCCAAGACAGGATCATTAATCCTTTGCACTACAAATGTACCTACCAAGCACGAGTAACGTGTAATAACACGATCCAAATGTGTCTCATAAGCATTCGAAAGTTTGTACCAGTTCTGGCCACTAATTTTCTTGCGGCTCATGAAAAATACAATTACGTCCATTGTGATAGAAAAAGAAATCCAAGTCGATTAGATTTCTGCATCCAAGCTTCGAGCCGGAGGATATTGTTGTTAAGGCAGACAAGCCGAATCGTGGCGCGGGTCTATATGTGGCTTTCGATGCCACTCTCACCAGTTTTTGAAGTTCTCGCTCTAGTTATTCGGTCTAACGAGTACCGTCTTCTGCGAAGCAGGAAGAAAAATTTGCTACGCCCTGCGCAACCATGTCCCCGTTTAATTGTTTCATCCGTCCGTTCAAAATTTCATTCCATTTCGAATCAGAACAATACCTGTATCTCTCAAGAAACCCAGACACTTCTTATCCCATTTATGCAAAACGATCCACCTGCAATCCAGAGATAACAGTATTTGAATATTAACTTTCACCAAAATTGCTGTTTCAACCGCGGCGCAACTTTAACACCCTCGCTTATTCATGAATGTCCTCTTCTTGACGCTTTAGCATCGCCTTCGTTTGTATTCCATAGAGGAGAGCGTAAACAATCACGAGGAGAGGCGATTCACGCTTGCCAATTGGCAAGAAACGCGACTATGAATGAAAAAAGAGAAATAGAACGACAAGTTTCGCGGAAAAGCGCGATGGAAAGGGAACGAGAAGTCGTCGGTGATCGGCATGGAAAAATGAAATAATTATATTTTAAATAATTGCCTTTGCGATAAAATGACAGAGGGAAAGATAATACCTCTGTAATTCTGAGGAAATAATGGCCAATTCTTTGGCACCAAACTTACAATAAAAAGTTTCAGCCAAAAACTTTGATAGTTTTACCAAAGAGACATTGTACCTATTCAGTCGTATTCAGTTTAGATTGAAAGGATATTCTAATGTCATACTTTTAGCAGAAAATAATTACGCTGTCGCTAGGTTAACGAGGTAGAACCGTGATTCGCGAAATGTACGACTGTCGTCGTTAAACAACCAACAACCATCCAACGATTCGTTAGTACCGTTGCTCGTTATCGTTTCGTTTTTATCGCGCGGCAACGGTTAACGGCGCTCGTTCATTCGTCCATTCGTTTCATCGATTTTTCTTTTCTCCCCCCTTACAGGCAATATCCTATAGTTTTGTTCGCTGATAACACGACGGGCCAGGTGAAAATCGCCTTGAGTTGTTAATTAAGGCGCTACTTTGTATTAAATGCGTCCACTAATTGCGAACGCGCTAGCGAAGATATATTGCGATGAGCTAGATACTAAAACGGAGAAAAAGAGAAAGATGGAAGCGTTATAGCAGGAGGTATCGCCTGGCGTCCGTACGCGTAGAAAAGTCCGGCGATTCAGAGTGGAAAACGCCTGGTAAACGCCTAATGAAACCGAGATTTTTTTTCCTCCAGGTGGTAAATGGGTAATTGACACGATTAATTAACCCCTTTTCTATCCTTCTCTCTACCGATGCTTCTCTTACCCAGGAAATTTCACTTGTGTAATCTTTTATTATCATCTCCTAACCGTGACTTAAATATCAATATCCTGTAAACTCGATTACACAAGTGTACCGCGTAATGAATTAATATCATTATTAAAGTTACACGGATTCGTCGAGAGTTTACGGAAGGATCCTTATCGTTTCTCATGGTATTGAACACTTTTCGAGGCGATCTAACCGAATCGTGTAATTTCTCCGCTAATGGGAGGACGGTTCGTAAAGCACAAGGCAAGCAGATGCATTTTCTTTTCACGGTACACTTGCATCGCGTACATCGCGGTCGTCGTTGATTCCATTGTTTCCAGTCGGACAGCGGGCACCGACAGGACACGTTGAAAAAGGAATTTCTCCTCGCCGCTCGACAATCGCTTTCTTTTTTCCCTTTTTTCCCGTAGCCCGTTCGGCGTGGCTCACGCGATCGATGCAGAAGATGCACTTCCCTCGCTGCATACACGATGCATCGCGTACGCGCCTCGCCCCTTTACACCGTTTCGTCGTTAAATTATCCAGTCGTGAGAGTATACGAATTGCATAGGGATCTATGGAATTTTCCATAGGATAACAGTCAATGTAATTTAGATATCACCTGGATGAAATTGTACGTGAAATTGTCGAGCTTGCAATTTCGTGGCACGAGTCGGGTTAGAAGAGTCCACCCGGAGAAACGAGCTCGACGTGTTCAAGAAGGATTACACGACAGGGATTGATTCATTTTTCTTCTCGATCCGACAGCGAAGGGACGGCGAACAACATCGGATTACACGTTGATCCTTTCTCCTGCGACAGAGCCCAATTTCTCAGACCCACCGCACAACAGAATGCTACTCAATCTCTAACAAAATCAAAATTGTCCCGCGTGGAATCGAGAGAAACACCCTTATCGTTTAGAAAGGAAGGATACAAGAGCGTGCATTTTATCACGTAGGTTGCTTTAGAAAAGGTCGAATTCCAGGAACATCGGATGGACCAGTGCCAAGAAGGTGGATGCAAGAGTTTTGAACGGATAAAACACGGCGTTACAGAGCCGGCTCTCCACCGAATTCCAAGCGTTCCGTTTCAGACGAAACAGAACGGAAAACCAGTTCCGAGTAATTCAATTTGCAACGATGCAATCTATAAGCGGACAAAGCTGGACCGATGAAAATCAATCTGCCAGCTCGGGGCCAATTTGTGCTGCTTCGCTCGAGGATGACTGACGCGTAGCGACGGTTTCGTCGTTTGCGCGATGAGAAGGAGCCTCGTTGCTTCGCGATACCATTACCTCGACGTAATTGTATCGCGCGAAATTCAGCCTGATATTAGAGCATAAATCGAGCAGGCCAATCTCGGTTCGCCGGGCTTTGCATACGTTTAAAATACATAGAGGACCCTCTGCGGGGGACCGGCTCATTTCGAATGCGGCTGGCAAGCAACGAGGATGCATGCAGCAGCCGGGCCGATTAGCCGAACCGGAATTTACCACTCCAACGGGATGACTTAGAAGCAACTCCCCTTTCTTGGCCAACCAACCCAGACCATCCACCTCGCCAGAGTTACACGAATGCTCGAAATTGCCGGCCAGACTGGCCTCGTTAATTGCGGCTCGTTATAAGAGCGCCGCTAAAGGCAACGAAAAAGAAAGTCGCCGGGGAACGAACACGGATGCGCATGATACTCTGTTGTTGCTGTTGTTGTTGCTGCATCGACGACACGCGTTCAATTCGGGGTGGTCCGCGAGTATTCGGCTGCTGTACGAGACACGAATTAAAAGCTGCACGATTGTTCTTTCACTTGGAATATTAACTTATGCATTTGTCGTTTGTATGCAATTGTCTGGTTGTTGCGTATCGGGCGCACGATTGCGAAACGTAGAAAGTTTGACAAGATCTGATGACATAAAAACAATGGAAAATTTGTTAAAGTTCTATTAGTTACGCCATAGAAAATCTGGAGTTTCTCTGTTTGCAGATTTGTAGGTCTCCAACGTTGCGTGTTACATGAAATTTTAATTAGGCAACGGTGGTCTTCTTCAGAAATCATGCATGGCCGAGAATTCTGCTAATTGTGGATCCAGCCTTCCTTGGTAATGATACCAACCTCGCGAGGGTTTTGCCCACAACTTCTCTGAGTAATCGTCGGGCTGACGAAGCGCCGTAAGAAAGTAGGTCTGGAAGCGCATCATCTGTTCTAAGATCTGATCTATTGCTGTTACGTGGTAACGAAAGATTTAATCTATGACAACCGGATGAATTTCACGAGAGTAACCAAGTCCAGCTTGCAGATTCGTTGAATATTCACAGCAACAAACGTAGACAAACTTCGTTAAACTTTGTCAAATTTTATCAAACTTTGTTTCAAAAGAGATGCTAAGCATCCGACACGGTTTGGTGACATAAAAGTACCGCAAAGTAGCATTTATATCCCATAAATTTGAATCAAATCCTCGTTTCGTGTCGAATTTTCGTCGTTCCTTGCGCGTCTCTAATTGATCAGCCCACGACATCTTTATAGCTGCGTAAAAGAGGATTTCCACGACATAACATCAAGGTTTATGGACGAGAGGCAGTTAAAACTCTGTACAATTCCGATTCCTGGATGCCTTTCTTTCCTTTCCATGGATTCCCCTTCGTCGCGTTTTCGTCTACCCCATGGAATCGTCGCTGCTCTTCGTCTTCTTCCTGGTCGACGGAAGTGGGTCACTTGGACCACGGCCGACCGCAGAGACAACGGCACGTCCGGTGGATTGAATTTATTTACGTGGCTCGATGTATCGCGGGTAATTGAGTTCGATATCGAGCCTCGTTTCATTTCTTTTTTCTCCTCGCCCTCTTCCATCGTTTCGAGGAAGTTTCTCTTCAAACAGAACAGATCTACTTTTCTCGATGATCAAAAGCGAATCGATTGTTTGTACCTCCTCCACTTTGTTCTACAACATTTCTTCATTTAGGTATCGTTTGTTGTTTCGAGGAACAAAGGAAGTTACGTTGGTTTCCTGCGCTTTTACGCGCATCGAACGCGGCCACTTCTTGCCGTCTCCTCCTCCTCCTCCTCCTCCTCCGCATCGTGGTAACAAGTGGGTCACTCGTTCGAAGAGACAACGGCTTATTCCGATAACGAATGAATTTATTTATAACGGAGGATCTTTCCTGTCCGCGTAATGCTGCCTTCACAACCACGTGGATCATTGTTGCCGTCGAACAGCTTCGTAAAAACTGTCGATCGAAGTGTCTTCTTATGAATAAATGAATAGATCAAGGTCTTTTTATTGTAATAGAAGGAACAAAGATTCCTGAAAGCTTTTGTCTGTCTGTAATGTAAAAGTCCAATCCAAGGATTAATACTATTAGATGAAATTTCGTTATCGAACGGACATGGTACTTCAGGTGGTGATTCGTAAGATTGTTAGGTGGAACACGAAATATTCGTTTCAGTGTGGAACGGGCATAAAGCGGAGATAGTCGAGGGAGCTGGCTCGACTCTCTCTTCTTAATTATCGGCTTCGTCGGGAGTACATCTTGTTCTCGTTGAGGCTGTTTCACGGAGGCGCACTTGCGTTTAATTGCTTTTCAAGGACAGAGAAACGACGGAAGACGAGAAACGGATAAACGATTTTTTTTTTCTTTCGCTTTTTCGGTGCTCGATCGCGAAGTTTGCTACGGTTGCTGTTTGAAGATTATTGATTATACAAGCTATAATTGTAAACAATCTGTTACGTTTACATTTTGAATATTTCAAGATATCGGAATGGAACGAGCTGCCTCCGGCGTTGAATCGCAAGACTTTCGCGCTTGCTTCGAGAAGCTAGCATGCCAGGTAGCCATATGTTAGGGAGTCGAGATCAAGAACCACTATTCAGCATCGATAACGTCCTCGCATTCCTGAAACGTGTCGCAGAAACACGGAGAAAAAGCGGCGGCAGCACGCGATAACGGTTGCTGGGATCTTCGTCGTGTCACTGGGTCGCAATACACATTTTCTAGCGGCATTTTCTGACCCCGCTCTTCTCCGGCATCGTCCGGCCATCGGAGAGGGAATGGAATGATAATAAATACGAGGAGCAACATTTCCCAACGGGGATATTAATTTGTCCTCGGGCTTGACTTGGGTTGGACAGCAAAAAAACGGGCTCTCGAGTGGAGACGCGATATTAAATCGAAGTTTGCCTTCTTTTTCTGCCCGATCGCGACAGCAATCGAGCATGTCTAGGCTGTAAAGCTTGAAGGATTTCCTGAGGGAATAAAAACAGGGACTGGCGAGACGGTGTTTAGTCGTAAAGGCGTGCCTATTCGGATCGCTTCATTTTATAGTAACTTTGTAGACATAATTGTTGCAAGAAAAGTGATTTAATTTATCTCGTCTGTTGGTAATAGCGATTTCAAGAGAAAAATGGTTTCCGATGGATGAAAATCATTTTGGAGAGCCCGTTCGAGCAGCGACGGAATTTCAATGGGATGCTTAAAAGAAAAAACGATCGAATATACGAATTCAAGCGTAGAGCCGATAAAATCATCGGGCGCCGTGAGAACGCGGCGAATCGACGAGCGGGTTGCAATTAAAGGTGGCGCGAGTGCGCGGATTTATCATCGCGAGGCCAATTAAAAAAGTGGAAAACGAGAGAACGTTCGTTCCGTTCTGTAAAGCGGCATTGGCCCAGTAAGAATCCACGTGCAACATTCGACTGTAAAATCGGCATTCGTTCCGTGCACTGTCTCCTTCCTGGCGCTGCCGTGCACTCGAAATCCTTCGATTTATCGCGCTTCTTCCAACGAGCCACTCTTGTCCGTGGCAAGTCTTCGGAACGAACCGTTCGATATATTCGCGACTTTAAGCCTCGATCTTTCCTTTAGATACCAACTACCGCGATCTGGACACAATCCAACCTTCTTCAACTCCCCCTTGTAAAGACACCGTTCAACGAATAAACGGGAAACAAAATATCCGCACGGTATTTAACACTTTTCGCGGAATCCTTGACTTTCGCAATTTTAATTTCTGTCTTAAACATTTTCATGTCGAACAAAAGATTCTAAAGTCTGAATAATTAAACGTCACCTTGTAAATCTGTTACATCCTTCTCACGGGTCGCTGCCACTGACAAACGAGACATTACGCAATCCTCGTAATTTCAACAATTACAAGATCCTTACCGTGATATGAGGATCGCGAAAAAGAGGAACGAAATGGATGAAAGTGTTTCGTAACAAAAAGGAGGAGGAAGTCACGGTGGAAACGAACCACTATTGTCTGTCACGGACTATAATCGCGAGTTTTATGAATAATCACAGCTTTGTTCTGGAAGCTCGATGAAACCTTGAGATAGAGAGAGTAGCCTCTATTAAATCGAAGCAACCTTGTGTTAAGGTTCTCTAAAAAAGAGTTAATCTATAGGTACATAGAAAAATGTTGGAGAAAGTTTGTTGCAATTGGAAAGATTGCCCCAGGTTCCGCTTTATTCTTCGGTAAAACGCTCTCAATGGACTCGAGTAATCGGGATCAAGCTTAAAGCCGCCTTTTCACCGGAACGACGCGACGCTGCAAAAATACAGGAGGTCTAGGCGTCGTGTCGTCTTTTCAATATAAAATTCCATGATATTTATACCTACTGAAATTTTATTGAAAATGATATTATCACGGTCTAAAAATAGACCAGTCGAGCCTTAAAATAGAAACAGGAATTAGTTTTTTAGAAGCTCAATGGTCTCGAAAATTGGGTCTTTGTTGTATACACGTGTGGATTTTCCCGAGAGAACAATGTTTCTGCTAGATGATTTATTGGCTATTATAAATCATTGTCACGCGATAGCCGAGTTTTTCGTTATCGCAGGAATTGCCTCGTTTTACTTCGAACAATCGAGGTCTGCCGCGTTAACACCTTAGTGGAAATGAACACGATAGTCGGACACCCTCTAATTGCTAAGACCTCGAATACTTCACTTTCAAATTTATCTGATTTTATTTTTGTAAAACGAATTGTCTCTGTTCGCGTGCAACGATGCAATTTCGGGAATGACAGCGATAACTGCTGCTCGACGAAAAAACGTGCGGCCCCGAAGCCGAGTTGTTATCCATTCTCTCGCAAATCGTTCCTCGTTCACGTGTGTGAAACGAGGTTGGTACAAATCAAACACGAAATCGACTCTCCCTCCCCATTGCTCTTCAATGATACTCTTCAAAATTTCAAGTAACATGCGAGTTTAAAAGTAGGGGTACTTAAATCTTCGCCAAACCCTTCAGTTTCGAATGACGATTCTGTACAATTTTTATTCATAGAAAGATAAATAATTGTCCAGTGACTTGCTGTACAAGTAGAAAGTGCTCGATGGCGTCTACGAGCATACTCGTCGAAACGGAATCGATCCAAGTTACAGGGGGGAAAGAAATCTGTTTTTGAATGAACAAACTGTCGCTAGCGAAACGAAAGCCTCGTATGCGAGTGCATTAACGCCAGCGAGCTGGCACGGGGACGAGGACAATGCACGGTGGTGAAAGTTTAGCACGCAGACGAGATGCAGAGGCATTCGTCTCGCGGATGCGAGCTGAAAACAAAAATCATCGTCTTGACGCCCCTTTTCAACCTCCCGATGGAACATCCGTTTCTCCTGAACTTGGAAAATATTTCAAACCCTTCAAATTGCATTAGAACGAAATGGTCCGTAATACGAAAAAAAAAAAACAAGAAAAAATAGCGGAACTCTGGAGAGAAGACGCGTATTTCACAATCGTCCGTGTATCGAAACGCCGATTTATCGATCTGAAAGGACGACCGTTCCGTACAGCATGGCGCGTGGTGGTGCAAGAGGAGGCTCGTAAGTTCTCGCCGAAAGCTCGCTCCAAGCTAGATATATATTTCTCGGGCTGATCCCGTGACACGCTCAGAATATACAGTTACGATGGTTGCGTAACAGGAGAGGCCCTGGAAGCAACTGTTGTAAATAAAAGGAAAAAGAAATGATAAAAAATAACGGTACCGGCTACATACGCGGACATTGTTCGGTTACCTTGGGGCCTCGTTATCGCCCTTTCTGAATCGATACTCTCTCGTCCGCGGTTAATTAACCGGCGACTTTCCAAAGCCGCGCGCGTATTCTCGTAAATTCAACGTCGAACACATCGAAACCGCGACGATGAATCGTGTAAACGAAAGTGGGACAAAACGGTAGGGTAAAACCTTCTCCGTTTCGAAAACGAACAGAGATATCGTTCAGAAAAACCCAAGATTTCGCGCAAATCAGATCCAAGTAAATACTCGGCGCGAATTACTTGGTCGTTTGAAAGATTTATCCAAGAAACTCGAATTTACTTAACTGTCGTCGAATTGACTTTGCGCGGCTCCCGTTGAGAAAGTTTCACGGCCTCGAAATCAGTCTTTTCTCTTCGACCAAGTAATTGACTCGAGATAACGATAGCATTTCTATCGCGAAGTAATATCGAATCTGTTCGATCAAGATGGATGGAAGACGAGGGAGGAAAATCGAACGATTCATCCTGCGTTATTTGAAAAGTGAAAACGAATGAGCTGTTAACGAGAAGCTAACTCAGCGTGAAACTTCGAAGACTTTATTTGGAATTAGAGTTGCTGAAATATTTGATGTTCGAGAAAGGAAAAAGAATCAGAGGCCAAGCGAAAATTGATTTCATTGGACGTCCTCGTTTCTCCGCCGTTTTACACGGCACGCAAGCTTCGAAACGCTAAGCTTCTCCTGTACCTTTATCTTTCTCCTCGTTTCCACGCTCGCAAGTAGCAACATATTTTAAAGCTGCCAAAGCAAAATAATGCGTTCCGCGCCACTTGCCACGCCGCACATGCCTCGGAAACACCGTGCCGTATATTCCGCGAACGTTGCGTACACCGGCAAAAATACCGAACGGTCTGTGTAAGTGAAGTTTTCTTCTTCTTTCGCTCGCGTTCACGATTTATTAAAATCAAACTGTAAATGAACGAGATTATCTAGCTTGAAGTGTGAATAGAAATGTTTGGAAAATGGGTTCGTTGTCCTCGAACGATTCGATGCTTACGTTTGAACAATCGACGTATTCGGGTCAAGAAATTCTTCAACCCTCTGTATTCAACGAGAGAAAGATCGACACCTACGTATTCAATTATCTCGTCTGTTAAAAAACCCTCCCTCGAACGTCCCACACGAACTGGTAAAAGCGTTCAATCGGGACACGGTACACTTTACAATGGCATAAAACGGACAATCGGTTACTCCTACAAGATTAGCATGTCCAATCCACTCTCTCGTCGATGGATGTTTTCTCGTTCGTCTAGATCGCGAATGGTGTTCCAATTCGAGCCGATGCATCGCGTGACGACACGATCCCTTCGGCGAACAATCAATTAACCTGATGCGTCGCATTCCTCGTCGAGGATACTACATCTCCTACGTGTACGTCGTCGAAAGTGGATGGATTCGATTTTGTGGGCGTTCTAGGTTCCATTAACCAAGAGACGTCTCGATTAAACGGCCATACATGCACCGTAGACAATGCATTTTGATAATAATAGACGATCAACGTTTAGATTAAAGGGGCAACCGTGTCGCGTGTGAGCCTTGCGTTACAAGGTTCAACAGCTTGTTTCAACGTCCCATATGGTATACTTGACCGTAGAAGAGGCACTTGAAGATGACAAACAAAGCGAATGTTTTAACTCGATTTAGGTCAACGAGCAGATATCACGTTCTCATTAACCCTCTACTTATGAAACATCAGGCTGATATTTTACCAGAAATATGAAAACTACCGAGGCTCATTCACATGGTTAATTACGGTTTCGTAGTAAAGGAAAGTGGTTAATTAGAAACGTAATCAAGTGCACGCGTATGGGACCGGTTTTGAAAATTCATTTTCTTCGAATGATAACGGACTCACGTAGCACGGCGAAACAAAACTTCGAATTTAAATCTTTATCTCCTCCTACTATCTCGACAAGATAATTCCATATTCCATGTACAAACATCAGATTAGAAATAATTACCCGCTATATGTACAAGAGTAATTAACCTTTACGCTTCCTCCTGTTGAATTGTAATTACGACTGATAGTACAACTCGGAGATGTTTATTGCAACGCACGAACGTTAACCGTACAACTAACTTAATAGAATCAAATATAGAAAATAAATTATTTTCCTATCGGAAAAGCTCGTTAAACAAAATTCCTCGATTTCACAATCAACTTCCACTTTCCACGAAAATTATTTAGATTCGTGTCTAAGTGATCACGACAAATGACCGATCGTTTACGGAGGAGGAAATTATTAGCTGACAAATTGAAACGAGATGATGAACACCTCGGTTGTTCGCGAAACGCACGAAACGAGGGTTGTCAGATGCTGTTTTTCACGGAACAACGAGGCACGACGGACAGTCGAGAGAATAAGTAGGTAAGTAGGCAGCGAGAGAAATACTAGCTGGTCGTTTTATAATAATCAATAGGTTTTTTTGCCCGGGCTAATGCTCGTTGCTGCGGTTTCGCCTTCTCACGGCTCGCGAAACGTAACAAATTGGATACACCGAGGGAATTTCATTCGGCCCGCAAACCCAATCGCACTACCGGCCAAGAATTAGAACTCCATTTAGATCGAGCCAACGATGTCTTCTTTGATCCTCTCGATTCTTTAGACTATCAACAGAGAATGATTCGTTCCGTTATCGACGATTTCCCTCGTTTAATATCTGTATTTAAAAAACCGAGATTCTAGTCCAGTTACATTGTAATGGTTAGCAATCGGATACTTTAGATCCTCCCTTAGCCTCGATTCTCAATCTCGACCACCTCCTTGGGACGGGCAGAACATACACTTTGCTGAGAGAGAGAGAGAGAGAGAGAGAGAAAGCAATCGCAAACAACATTGAATTGAAGATTCCATTAAGAGTCCAAACAGGCAGGGATCCAATATCCAAAGAGCAAACTAAGGGGTTCGAGGATGAAGAGGCGATTTGATACTCACCGATCGATCTTTTACCGAGGAAAAGTAACAGAATTCAATTTTGCTATCTAATTTTCCAATTGTCAATATCAGCGGATTCAAATTTAATCTATCACTCTTTCATTTTTTAATATTTCTGCCCATTTCTTCAGCCTTTCGTTGAACAATTTGAGAGCCTAATCTTAGTCAAAGTACCGTTGCATGTTTCATACGTCTGGATCGACCTAGTACCGCGGTTCGAGGGTTAAGGTAGGTGCATATCTTACATCTTTCCCTTCATTTTCATGACGAGTTTCTTAGCCTTGTAACCTCGAAACCTTAGCCCTACAAACCTTGAATTTCACACGGCATAGCAGGTGTCGAAAAGATAATGGAAGGGAATGACACACGTTAAATCGGAACGGTGGTTTCGTTATTTGAACAAAGGTGGTGGCGTTTCGTTGTTCCTGGCAACACGTCCAGACAAAGACAGTTATTACCGTCACGGGTGTAACGACGAAAATGCTGTGTACGTACAATGAAACGTTTCACCTGGTTTCCGGAAACACGACGCCGCTTTTCCCGGTATCACCTGTTCGAGGAGGCGAACGCGATGCACCCGTTCCAAGAACAATGAATCATTCTATGCTTCCCGCGGTCAGGTTTTAATCAAACTTTCCAGCGAATCCGATCGTTATCGTGTACGAGTTCAGCGTGTTTCGACCAAGAAATGGGGCGGGAACGGTTTAATGGTTAACAGGTACAAATTTCTCCCATTAAAGTGAAATTCCAAGGCAACGCGTGCCTCGCAATCGATACGTATTCTTCTTTTAATCATCCAGGGAAATGATTTCCTGGGTGTTTTCCCGAGACTTAAGCATTTCAAATTATTCGACGATGAATATGAAAGTTCACGGAACGTGGAACACGCTGTGTTCCGAGGAAAACATTAACCCTACATTGTCGATTATAAATTCTACGTATTTTGACAATCCAAAGTGAATTAAACTCGTAATTAGCGCCGAGTTCCGCTGATTCTTAATTCGAAAACATAGAATAATGTCTTTTCAAGGAAATGAATGTTGAAAATTCTAATCAAGTTTCTAATTAACGAACCTCGTTTACTGCAAACAGAACAGTTGTGTATTTAGCAGAACAAACGACGAGTCCTCAAAATCCATTTTCTGTAAAAGAAAATCTCGCACCAGAGAATCGCTCGAGACAAGAATAAAGCATATTAGAAATCATAGGTACTACTTCTATTATTTAATTAGATTCTACCCCATCGGGCAATTATTTCTCGTCTCGAGCGAGCGACAAGCACAGTTAAACACCACAGGGGGAGACGAAAGAAAATCAACAGATAAGGGTGGAAAACAAGGAAAGCTGGGTACTGGTGAACATATGATAATCATAAATGAACACAAAATGGCACAGCTTTCCTCGTCACCCAAGGGGTACTGTGCCTGAACGCGTTCCCGTTTTTTTACATGGCGGGTATCCCCAGGAGGCCTACACCATGCCACACGATGTATCGTGTGGAGAAAAGAAATGAATCATTTAAAAAAAAAAAAAAAGAATAAATATAGAAGAAGAATATAATAGGTCGAAAAGAGAAGTGTATAATCCTTAAGCCATCAGTCTCGTGGATGTATGCAAATCTCGTAAGAAGTTCATCTTTCTGATTTCGAAGTCTTAACGATTGTTAGATACACGTCGCACGGACGGTGTCGGTGTAATATTCGCGACGTGAGCCGAATACCGATCATGGGCAAGGCTCCATTTACCAGGTGAAAGTATTTCGTCGGTAGAACGTTAACGATCCTGCTTACTTCCACGTCGCGTGCATTTTTCTCTCGTACGTTCGTTCGATTGCTCGATTACGGTGCCACGTGCAGCTCCTGCACTTTCTACAATCGCGGTGCATCGTAACGGATCCATTAAAACGGCATCGTACCGTTCGATCGATCATAATCGACGGGTATTCGACGGATCGCGATCGTGGAACGCGTTCTACGAAGCGTCGTGTCAGAAAAGGAGAGGAAAAAATGAGTAACTATGTATCGTTTCGAAATGGTGTACGACGCCTCGATGAAACAGTAAACGTTCCGATCCGATACCGAGATCGTCCGTGTGAACGAGAAACTTATCGCTAAACACCGACAGACTAGCTGCCGATGCGTACCTTACTAGCTAATCACTTAATCGACTACCTGCTTGTATACCTCTTCGAGAGAGAGAGAAATCGGAAACGAAGAAGAAGCCACTAACACGTTCGAGGCCCGAGGTGCGCGACACACCGATCACCGGAACTCAAGAGGTGGCCACGTTACGGAAACAGGATCTTTTATACCGTCGAAATTATTGATTTCCTTCGGTAAGCCAGGCCGGTTCACGTGCGCAGGTCCTTGTTGACGGCGCACGAGCACACCACCATCGAAATGGCTAAAGAAGAAACGAAAGAAACGCTTTCGAAAGAAACTACCCCGCTACGATCGAGTCGTCTTGGTTACCGGGAACGTTAACGCATTGATTGTAACAATGCTGATGCTTCTTTTTATTTAATCGATATTAAAAACAAACACGATTGGGATATTAAAAGAACGAATATACGTGATAGCGATAGGAATATTCCCATTTGAAGGGGGCATTATTGGGCCAAGAAGTTTGGAGTTATTTGTACAATGTTTAAATTCCAAGAAGGCACAATGAAATTTTTATACGATCATGTTTTATATTAACTAAGTTATGACTGATCTCACACCGCGTTTCAAGGATTAAGATTATACCCCCTATTACAGTGAACATGATATAAGAAAAATTATAATAATGCCGCCGTGTAATTAATTGTTAAATATTGGGAACGTTGTTATGACTTGCTTTTCTTTCTAGCACCAGATGACAATCTATCATTTTGTACAAATAAACATTTAATGTTATGCCTGTTCATAATAACTGACAAATGGATTATAGGATTAATAATGCAACTCTACGTTTGCAACTGTTGATGAAGAGGAAAGCTGTACGTATGTAAATCGATCAGTTGTAACTTATGAGAAAACGTAATTTAATTCTTTTTATTTATACTCTATTTCATAAATAATGATGTATAAAACTATTACAGATATTAAGTTTAATCATGGATGATAGATTAATCATCTGCTTTCACTTTTTACTATAAAACCACACCTTCAGTTACATGACTTCCTGTTTTCTTTATGTTCTTCATCAATGAAGACCTATGAATACTTAATTTCCTCAGAAGTAAAAAAAAACTTCGTGATATTGTAAAGTAATTAATTTAATAAGCTAAAAGTATTATGCAAGCCATGTGTTTGTTTTTTAATTTGAAGTCAATTATCGAAGTTTTGAAAACAGTACGACATCTACCATCTAGCGGTAGAATGGTAGACCAAAATCTGGCGATGCAAACGTCGAGGCGGAACTCCGAATTCCGCGCCGGTAAAACAGCCCACGTTAGAAACTGATTTAAGCGCCACCTCAGTTATAGCGACATACTATACCGCGTCAAAAAAGATTAAAACTTTTTTATTTCTGGTTCATTTTTTATGAAATTTTTACCAAACTGTTTGTGAAATACTCCTGATTAAAATGATACCAAACACGACATAGTTTTGGATACTACAGTGTCATATTCTACGGCATTATATAAGTACATAATTAAAGAATACTGACCATACATTCATTATTATTAAGTTTCTTTCCGTAAAATTGTATTTGCAATGTGGTACACTTCAGAATCTCAAAGGCATAATTCCTGAAAAAAATATAACAGCGATTAAATAGAAAAAAAACATCAATTTCGCAGCCAATTCGCTCGTATTATTTGCTGCATAATTAATAAGCGCACCATTGAAATAATGATGCAATTATTAATAATCCATCAAATAATAACGATTGCCCAGGTCTCACCACGGGGAGGTTGCTGCGGGCGGAGACCCGCCCTACCTCATCCCATCCACCCTCCATTTATGCAAATTTTTATTTTTATTCAATACTATCAACCTCTTGATGCACATTTGCAAAACGTTTCGACTGTTGTGCAAACGAACATCAAAAGGAGCATTATTACTACTTGCCTACTTATATTTTTCTTTCTTAATCCTAGCTTACAATCTTTCATTTTGATTACAGATCTGTAATTAGTAATATGCAATTGCATGTTTGTCTTACATCTAAGTACTAAGAATACGAGCGCTCGTATAATGACAAAAATTCGCTTAAATCTAAAATATCCTAATTAAATACTATACTGTTTAAACTTAATTATATACTTATTCAATTATTTAACTTTGGGGTCCTTAAGATATAATTGTCCTACCTAACCAATTTGTTGATTTGGTTGTCCTTACCACAATACTTCCTGAAATAAACTAAAAAGAATTAAACATAATTTAAAGAAATAAATATATAAAATTTATATTGTCATAACCATAGACTTACAACCTGCCTACATAAAAATTTAAAGGGATAAAAACAAATACCTGTAATAAATTTGTTGGTTCGATGATTCTTACCAGAATATTTCCCGAAACAAACTAAAAAGGATTAGGCACAATTTTAAATCATTTTTACATCACGTTAGTTAACTAAATACCTTAACTTCATACTTCCTGTAAAGATATTTCTCTGTAACAGAAACTAATTAATTGAATCCAGATAAAGACAAAAAAAATTAATAGCTGGAAAGAATATGCATCAGTAACAATAAAATTTTACAAAAGTCAGAGTGGTTGTTAATAACTCTAAATCAATTTGATACGAAACATGAATTAAAAGCAAACTTCAGTACCAAAATAAGGAGAAAATGGTTTAGAAAAAAATATATTTAAGTTTAGTGGTTTGAGTTTAGAACATTAATTACTTCATTTTACTGTATTTAATATTCGTTCATTTCGCGACAAATAGTACACAATATTTTGATTGAAACAACTGTCTTTTACTGCAATATACATACAACCATGACTCTACTTGACTTTATTGCAATATATTATTTAGTAACACCTTTCAGTGCAAATTTATTGTAAATGGAAAAACTGAATAGAAAATCGCGAATGGGCTTTGCTTTGCAGGAAAAGAATTTGAAAATTTATAAAAGAAATTTAAGTAGCTTTTCCGTAAGCTTGAAACGAAATATCGCGATCAGAAATTAAAATTGAACAACTCGAACAACAATCATCCACTACTTTTGTTTAAATAAAGAAGAATTAAAATTTAATAAGCTATTTCAAATGAACAAATATTCCTTGAAATAATTTATCACCAATCATCAAAAAATAAAATGAATTTCCATTTTAAATAAAACTTTGAATAAAGTTCATTTTAAAACTTTATCGTATCTAATAATATCTTGAAAACATTAAATTCATATATTATTTAACAGTATTTCCAACAGCCGAAAGCTCAAAATTTTCGAAATTTAAAAAAAAAACAAAAAAACGAGAAAAAGCATAAGGGGATAGGGGAAGCTGAAAAGAAAAGTTTGATTGCCCATAAGAGCAATCACTAAGCAAACCCTATAAAACAAACCGAAATCACACGCAACACTAATTTTAAAATTGCAAACATTCTGAACTATGACAAAACATCGGCTGGCAACGAAGGGTATCACGCCCCCTAGACTTACGCCAGACGCTACATACCACCCACCCCGCCTGGACGTCGTAACGCCAGGACAGAGTGCACCCCTTCGCTAAGAGCGCTACCCGCCCGTCCAACACGTTGCATCCAACGGTGTCAGATTGACGGACGCCCATAGTATAGACAAAAGGACTACAGTTTAGAATATGGTAACATATTTTCATATGTTCCGTATTCTAAAGCTGCGCCTGCAAAGGCCTAGTAATGCATGGGTATATCTCCCAGAGGTGGTGTTCACGGTCTTATGCCGCGGAATCCTTGACTAGCAATGGATTCCCACCGAATGTGAGTCATAGTTACATCCACTAATTTAATAAATGCAAAAAAGTAACAAATTTAATAACAATCGCGAATTCATTCGCAACACTAATTTCATTAATTATATAATATGTACAAAAGCGTACGCGTGATGGCTGCTCCATTATGCGCAACGCTAAGCTGAAAAAAAGAAAAAAAGAAAAAACGCGAACTGTAACGCAACACTACTCAAATCTACCGAATTTTGTAAGACGCAACACTAATCTAAGAAAGGGGTACAGCCAATCCAAGGCTGTACCACAGCAGCTGGTCCATAGCTGCTTTATGAACCATGGCAACTCCACTGGATCGTTTTTGGGCAGTTCTAATGCAAAACGCGAATATTCATTACCGCAACACTAATTAGCAGGGAACTTTATAAACTAATGAAAAGCAATCGCGTATTTATAAGTCGCAACACTGGGAAACAATCGCGCTAATGTCTGTCGCAACACTATCTTTAACAGACATGCAATTAAAATGCAGAAAAGGGGGATTCTCAAACCGTAAATTTTTTACTCGCAACACTAATTTCATTAATTATATAATATGTACAAAAGCGTACGCGTGAAGGCTGCTCCATTATGCGCAACACTAAGCTGAAAAAAAGAAAAAAAGAGAAAACGCGAACTTTAACGCAACACTACTCAAATCTACCGAATTTTGTAAGACGCAACACTAATCTAAAAAGGGGGTACAACCAATCCAAGGCTGTATCACGGCAGCTGGTCCATAGCTGCCTTATGGACCATGGCAACTCCACTGGATCGTTTTTGGGCATTTCATCATATATCGCAACTCTAATGCAAAACGCGAATATTCATTACCGCAACACTAATTAGCAGGGAACTCTATAAACTAATGCAAAGCAATCGCGTATTTATAAGTCGCAACACTGGGAAACAATCACGCTAATATCATTCGCAACGCTATCTTTAATAGACATGCAATTAAAATGCAAAAAAGGGGGATTCTCAAACCGTGAATTTTTTACTCGCAACACTAAAGCAATGAACATTAAAAAGCAACAGTTTCAAAAATCTTAAAGCAATCAACATTGAAAAGTTAAATTCTATTTTAAAGCAATGCAAGAAAGAAATGCGATATTTAAAGTTCGCAACACTAAATGAAAATCGCGATAATCATGCATACGCAACATTAAGTTGAACCGTAATCGATATTCATTCGCAACACTAAATTGAACCGTGGTCAATATTCGCAACACTAAATTGAAAACGCGATTTGCCCAAAATCATGGGGGTCACGGGCCCCCTCTTGTCCTGAAATTACAAAACTACAACTACAGGCAAGCACAGTGACAAAGTAGTAACGATAATGATTTCCCATCCTTTTTTGCAAAAGGATGCAAAATCATTAGTAGTTCCCCTCTTGAAAGACAGTTTGTCGGGGCGCTTCGGCATATAGCCTTTTCTTTCTTCGGGCGGTCCACCCACCTGAAACTTATATCTAAAGCTCGAGACTTGCAAATTCGCAAAACAAAAAAAAACAATCAACAAAATAGGAAAAATCGCGAAACTCTAGTTGACACGTGGACGAAAAAGGACTTTATATAAGTCGTTGTTCGTGCACACGTGCCGTGCTCGAGCAGAACTTGTGCGTTTCGTGCCATCGCGACCGCGTATGACGACTTATGAAGTCGCCAAAAATTTGAAAAATTGTACAGATAGATTCGAAGGCGAACGGCATACTCCGTTCGTATCGATCGTATCGTCAATTCTTCAAATATATTCCAGGTACAGGTTGATCACGCGAAATCGCGCCTACCCGACCAAGAGACTGTGACAACCTGTCCCGGCCCTACCTACTTACAATCTATCACACACACCAGAAGGTATACTACCTACCTACCTAACGCTATATTTAAAAAAGGCAAAATCACATTCTCACAAAAATTCATTCCACGACCCCCATACACTCCACCCGGGCGCAAGAGCCTAAACTAGGGAGAACGTCCCGGGACGCCTCCGTCACCCGAGTTTCATCTCACATCACACTCTACGGTACGTACCATTTTTCACTGAAATCGTCTGACAAGGCTAGCAATCATTGCGTATAATGATAATTACAAAATTTAATTAACTACTTTGATATAGAATATTTCATAGTAATGGTAATAATCATGGTAATAGTAATGATAACAATAGTATTTGGTTTATACGTTCATCGTACATCTTGTTGAATAAAATATTATTTCAAATTAAAAGTAAATGAAAAAGTTATTAAACCGACGCAATCCCACAGCCTAAAAACACACACACCATATGTGGAGATTACGTCGTGCACGATATACTAACACAATGCCAGCCGCTTATTAATTATTATTCTTATGAGCTAGGTCATCGTGCCCATTGCCTCTACCCATCCAAGTAGCACCTGGGCACGTGAATGGGCTTTGGCAATAAACTCGGAAGGGGTTAAACCTGAAAATCCTGATCTAAAAACATGATTAGTACATAAACATCTAACGGGCTAATATTTCACTATTTCAATAAAAGTGACTCGACTTTGTAAATATAAAGCTTTAATAGCAAGTACTGAAAGCAATATTGAGCAACTATGACGCAAACATGGTGCACTGCTAATATCAGCTGGCAACGAAGGGTCTCACGCCCCCTAGACTTACGCCAGACGCTACATACCACCCACCCCGCCTGGACGTCGTAACGCCAGGACAGAGTGCACCCCTTCGCTAAGAGCGCTACCCACCCGTCCAACACGTTGCATCCAACGGTGTCAGATTGACGGACGCCCATAGTATAGACAAAAGGACTACAGTTTAGAATATGGTAACATATTTTCATATGTTCCGTATTCTAAAGCTGCGCCTGCAAAGGCCTAGTAATGCATGGGTATATCTCCCAGAGATGGTGTTCACGGTCTTATGCCGCGGAATCCTTGTAACTAATTTGATTAATTAAATAATAAAAAAGATTGAGTTTAAAAACCAAAAGGATTCCCACCGAATACTAGTCAGTGCATCGTCATATTTACTCTCGTGCTGGAAATTTTTCGCAACACTAATTAAAGAAATGCAAAATTTTAATAAAGAAGAATTTAATGTCTCTGATTAAGAATTCTTTGCAATGAAACAACAATTTATTGTGAAAATTAATAAAACATCCTCGGGCGACTCCCTCCTCAGAGTAAATTTTCAAGAATACGCAAAATGTATTGAAATGGATCACTCTGACTTGGAAATCTACCCGTCACGAATTGTCTTCTTGCACATAAATTGTTCATTTTTTCATGAACGTGTAAATAAGTTAAATTACTCGTAAAAAATTCTCAAATTATATTTGAATTTATAATGTACAATAACATCATTAATATGTATATCCAGTATACATATTACATAATACTATCGATATTATATTGCTTTGAACCATCGCAATAATTAAGTCAGATAGTATTTCACTTCTCTATTACAAACAAACTAAATAAAATTGTTTCGGTATTAAAATATTTCATATTCCACATTTAAGAACATTTAAGAGCATTCATATATTTCAGAAATATCTATTGGAATATGTGGAATTGAAATGATATTAAAACGCGGAGTACAAGAAGACCTAGCCTGAACTAAATGAAATGAAACAATAAAAATGTTACTACTCATGGGTATAATCATACCCATGGTCACTATACTTGCCAACCACGTATACAACTGGTAACCCGTGTCGATTCGGACCATTCGTCCTACGACATGATTGGGCACCAGAGGAACCATAAAACATGCGACTCACCGTTCGCAGATATACTCTTCTTCCGACAGTCAAGTAGGAGGATGGACAACACCAGGTAGGAGGCTGCCTTGTAGGAGAAGACGGAAGTCGTGAAGAAAATTCATCTGTAACAAAACAAAAAAGAATTACGGTTAATTTTGCAAATTATCAATTTTTATTCTAATAAAATTATATATGAAATTGAATTTTATAAAATATTAGCAATAGCAATTAAGAAGAACTCTCAATTATCAAGTATTGAAATTGTAAATTATTCTATTTTAATAAAAAGCAATTAAGTGACGTACCAAGACGGAAGTCGTGAAGAAAGCCATCATCAGGATATCCAGGAACTCGGCAAAATAAAAAAATTCATCTGTAACAAAACAAAAAAGAATTACGGTTAATTTTGAAAATTATCAATTTTTATTGTAATAAAATTAGGTATATATAAATTGGGATTTTATCAAATATTAACAATGAAAAATAACTCTCAACTATCAAGTGTTAAAATTGTAAATTATTCTACTTGAATTAAAATTAATTAAATAAAGTAATAAGATACTTACACTCTTTCCTTATGGAGCAACGCCCAAGACTCCTCTTCAGTGGTGCACTGACTCTAATACCGGATATATCGAGCAATTAAAAAAAAAAAATAAAAAATAAAAATATAGATATGAAATACTAGTAACGCGACCGTGAATAATTTCCGGCGAACAATTATAGAGACTCTACTTTCGCGATGGAAAAAGAAAAATCAGAGCCGCGATGCTCTAGAAAATATTTTATAATACGCAGCAAATACTGACTCTACTTTCGCGTGAGTCCTAATCATACAAACGCAACTCTATTCAGGGCCAGTTCGCCCTTACAAAAATCAAAACATTGGAAGTATGTTCGTATAAACACTGACTCTACCGACCGCATTGCGCGCGGCCACAACAATTCCTAAAAGAAAAACTTAGTGAGCAGGGATGGGCTGGGTGGAAATATACAAAACAACATTCTTCTTATTGAGCTTTCGTAGCGGAAATACTGTTAATGGCTTGTAAATGAAACATCTATGTTCGTGAAATATATTCGAGGAGCACAAATATTGTTAAAGCTGAATATTGATACTAGATTGAGATGAAATGTTTTAAATAATTGTTGATAATTATTTCAATGAATATTACATCGATAGAAAATCATTTTGTAATAAAGATAATAGACTACTGTATTAAAGCAGAGGATTTTTGTTGTTAAAATTGTAAGCATACTACAAATTGTTGGAAATTCTATTACGGCTAGATTTATAAATTATCTAATTCTTTTCAATAAGCAAAATCCAATAATTAATCATGCTTAAACAGCATATGATTTAAAAACATGATTCTATTTTAATTTAAACTTGCATCGAAAACTGGATATTATAATATAATTACTACGATTTAACAAAAATAGATTGTTTAAAATAATAATTACAGAAGAGAAGTAATCATTTGCAGTAGAATACGAATTATTTCAATTTTGTTCTAGTTTAAAACAAATGTATTAAAATACTGGACGAAATTATTCAATAAAATGAAAAAGTAATTATTCTTTTTCTATGAATTGGTTAAAGAAAAAAAAGTCTCTAATCTTTTCTTTCTTGACTTTGGTAGCAAGCAATTATCAAAAATGCTTACAATTAACAACGATTTAATAAAAAACAAGTAATAATAAATGTTAATAATTGATTAGAATAAATTAAAACAATAAATTCTTACGAAATTCTATTTCAAACCCATAATATCAGGTGTCATGGCGTCCTTTCAATATTCATCAAATATCTGTAACAAATAAGAAATACCAATTTACGTCAATAAAATTTAATCAACAATAATAAAATTATTACTAATAAACGATCGAACTATAATTTATGCAAAATATTTTAATAGGTAGAATGCGCACCTACTACTTATGCAGAAGGATGCTCTCAACACGTCTTGTCACTTCGACGTTCGCGAGAGAAATGGCGAGACCATCCTTCTTGCCGAAGACCGATTAGCACCGTTCGGTATTATTCGGTAATGTTCGTCCCCAGCCGAACCGAAGCCGGTAGACGAATAGATCTCATAATATTACGCTGCTCGAGAAAGAACGTTATTAAATATCAAACAATAAATTGTGTGAAACAGCATTAAAGACGTTCAATATTGGTTAGGAAATTAACGATATAAAAGGGAAAGTAGTTCAGATTCTGCTGTTCCAACCTCATTATGAAATCGCGGCAAGAGCACAAATTTTCAACTCTTGTATTTTTGAAGAAAATGCCGAATTAATGTCAAAAATCAAGAATCTAGACTTCTCTTCGATATTCTTTTCTGTTTTTTGTACTTTTAACACCAGATCGGCAATTTAATTTAATATTTGAAGATAATTTAATCTTACCTGTTGCAGACACGTGAAAGACGGACGTAGCTTCAGAGAGAAATGATGCACTGCGCCACACTTCGCACTCCTCACCCTTCAACGATGAATCTGATTGGTCGAAAAGGGTGGACGCCATAATGGAATGACCAATCACAGGCATTGGTAGAAACTTCGAATTGCTTTGAAACTTTAACACTAAAAAAACGTTAAAAATTATCAACGCCATATTGAAATAAGGTTAAGATTATTTTTTTCTATTTAAAGCACCGAAATATAGGAAAGAAGATAGAAAAAAACATAAGATATTAATGTTATTTAATAAATTATCGTCATAAAAGCAGGATAAATGAAGAATATATTATTTTAATTCATACCTATATCGTCGTAATAGTCAAAAACGAGGAAATTAATTATCGCAATTTATATGAATAAATTATGGAAAAAATGTATTAAAAGCATGAAAAAATGTAATAATATTCAAGAAATTATTGATATAAAGGGAAATAATTAAGATTCTACTGTTCCACTCTCATTGAGAAGTCGCGGCACGATATCGTCGTCGACACACATCGACGGAATATACATCGACTATATATGTACATATATATAATGAATTAAATACTTATTGCATCTTTATTAAGAGAAATTCTCTTTCAAAATTGATTAAACTTCAGTTCCCGAACATCCCAGAACCTCCTACAGCTTTCCAACAAGTACTGGACTCCTCCATTTCAGATATGGGTCACCAGTGCTGGTAACCTAACATTTTATCTAACTAAATGTTCAGAAACTTGCAAATACTCGAAATTAATAACTTTAAAGCTTGTATAATGGAATTCAAAAGCAAAATAAAATTAATTAAGAACTTATTTTTGTCGCATGCACATTTTTACCTTGAATTTATGAACTTAAACATTGGGAATCTCGGATCTTTTATCTGTCACCGTGTTTGTTGGTACGCTGTGATATACTCTATAGTTTTGTTTATATACCCCAATAACTGACGCACATTCTGCGTAGTTGATAGTGAAGGGTGCTTGTAATAATTATGACAGTATTTCTGATATATATATCAACGTCATTGAACTCTTAACACTTGATGAACACACGGTGAAACATCTCGTGACTATATATTGAATACGGAGTAATGCGGAGATCACACATTGATAATATGACATGGTCATTCCAGTAAGTATCATCGTAGTCATTACACGATATAGTCAACCAGTATCTCGTTTCCATCCTTATATTGCTTTTCAGTATAAGCGAAAATGGTACTTCCGATAATCAGTGGCCAGAACTTGATCAAAAGAATCAGGTCAAAAATCCAACACGTAAGAAGGATTTAGCTCTTAAAGAGAATGATAAAATTATAAATTTGGACGATGTAGAGTATCCTGAACTTGGCGAGACAAGTGCTAAGGGTAGAAATTCAGTTGTGTCAAGGAAATATTGTTTGCCAAATCCTGATATAAAAATTATAGTACCTATGGAAGATAACGCAGAGTCAAAGCATTCAAAGTCTCTGAAACGTTATAAAAGAACAGATAAGATCTGCATTAATCTTCAAGAAGCTTTAGAGGTGAGTATTGCTGGACTCAAGTTAAATATCACTGAAGGAATTGACTAAATTATTAACTTTGTAACTTTTCTTACAGAATACTAGGTGCATGAATAGAATATCTAACAAAGACCTTCCCAGATTAAAAATTAACTTGTACAAGGGAAATCTTGGTATAATAGCACCGGGTCTATCAGACCGAAACAAGGATTCTGATTTTAGAAAAGTTAGAATATGTATCTCAAAGGATAAAAAGCCATCAAAGTTGAAGAAGATCATTTTACTGAATCGTGATATCAAAGCTCAGATCAATATACGAAAACGAGAGGATTTCGAACGCGCCAAGATGGAAGCCGTATGCAAAGACGTAGATACAATTAACTTCAATGCTTTAAGAATCACAACAGACCCACAGACAGATCCAAATTATGTAAGAAGAATGTGTACCATGACACTGTACGATAAAGATTATAGAGACCCAAATACAGAGGATGTGTTTGAAAGCTACATGTATTATAGTCCAGATATAATCGATCAGATAAACAATCTTCACATTCAGAACAGGCTCTTGCCAAATAGATTAGTTGAAAATAACAACAGAAATGATCTCCCTCCGCTAGATAGTAATGTAATCGAAAATGAGATTGTCCCGAAAACTTTTTCCCTCGAATTAAAAGACGACATTAAAGAAGAAATTAAAGAAGAAAGTAGTACCGCAAAAACGGAAGACACAAATTTCGTAACACATTCGCGCAGTTTTAGAGAGTAAGTATTTCAACCCGTATGTATATAAATAACCAACTACTCTGTACTTGATATGATATTTAAGTCTTATTTCATACCATTGTATAACGTGAATTTGTACGCTCGAATAGTTCTTTGTTCATATACATAATAAACATTATGTATTATACGACTAAAATGTTTGTTAAGTTATATTTCCCTTCCCCTGTCCTCTCCCTTATAACTTCCTTAGTTACGATTAACTTAAGCGATAAATTATGGTCAGTACATTGATCTTGCAAATCCGTTCATCTTACAGATATTGTACAAATATGCTGACAAAAAGCTTAAACGAAAGTCTTGAACAATTTTTAGGGGAAATCGTCAGACTTCAGAAGAGATTTCACGAGAAAAACCCGAACAAGTCTAAGTACAAACGTCGCTATTATGCTGGTTTAAGGGAGGCTTGCAAACAGATTGAATTAAACAAGATTAAATTTGTGATTATTGCTCCTGATATTGAGAAAACTGATCTTGAGGGTAACTGCATATTAATAATAATAAAAAAAAAAATATAGATAGATGAATCTATTTGTTATATTATTTTAGGCGGATTGGATGATCAAGTTGATAAATTGCTCGATACGTGCAGAAAGCAAAACGTAGTTTATTGTTTCGGATTAAGAAGACGAAAATTAGGATATTATATTCATGGAAAAGGATTGGTAGGATGTATTGGTATTGCAAATTACGGAGGAACTGAGGCAAGCACTAATGCAATCACTGCATTAAAAATAGTGGAACAACGTACGAAATACTTATTAGCATACTTATTTTCAGATGCTTTTTAAAAACGTTTTGACGGAATTGGTGCAAGCGCGAAACGCATTCAAACAATTGAGCGGCACTCCGGAAGCCATTATCGATCTATCGAAAGTGCTTCCGGAAGATTACTTGCCCTCGGAAAGCGTTAACACCCTCTTGAAAGCTTTATCTCCTCTCGGCATGTACAGCTGACCGGAAGCGATAAAAAAATGCATTTATTTGCATTCGTTTTGCAGTTATTATCAATTTTCAAATACTTATTATAATTAGTATTCTGTATAGTTTTTTTAAATGTTTTATATATGTTACTGGATGTTAATAAAACAACGTTACCGGGGTAGATTTTTGAAAAATTAATTTGCAACAAACTGCATTTCTGCATTACGAAGCGCGCTTCGAGAAACGTACTTTCAAACTTTATAATTGAATTAATTTCACTCGGATTAACTTGAAACTTTCAAAAAATATTTTTAAAACGTTGCATTTTAAAAAGTGTGCAAAATTTCCAAATACACACATTCTTCCAAATAATACATACATTTTTTATCACACCTTATC